GTCCCTTCACACATTCCCTTTCACCCATGTCCCTTCACACATTCTCTTTCACCCATGTCCCTTCACACATTCCCTTTCACCCATGTGGCTTCACACATGCCCATTCACCCATGTCGCTTCACACATGCCCATTCACCCATGTCGCTTCACACATGCCCATTCACCCATGTCCCTTCACACATTCTCTTTCACCCATGTCCCTTCACACATTCCCTTTCACCCATGTCGCTTCACACATGCCCATTCACCCATGTCCCTTCACACATTCCCTTTCACCCATGTCCCTTCACACATTCCCTTTCACCCATGTCCCTTCACACATTCCCTTTCACCCATGTCCCTTCACACATTCCCTTTCACCCATGTCCCTTCACACATTCTCTTTCACCCATGTCCCTTCACACATTCCCTTTCACCCATGTGGCTTCACACATGCCCATTCACCCATGTCGCTTCACACATGCCCATTCACCCATGTCGCTTCACACATGCCCATTCACCCATGTCCCTTCACACATTCCCTTTCACCCATGTCCCTTCACACATTCCCTTTCACCCATGTCCCTTCACACATTCCCTTTCACCCATGTCCCTTCACACATTCCCTTTCACCCATGCCCCTTCACACATTCCCTTTCACCCATGTCCCTTGACACATTCTCTTTCACCCATGTCCCTTCACACATTCCCTTTCACCCATGTCCCTTCACACATTCCCTTTCACCCATGTCCCTTCACACATTCCCTTTCACCCATGCGCCTTCACACATTCCCTTTCACCCATGCCCCTTCACACATGCCCATTCACTCATGTCGCTTCACACATGCCCATTCACCCATGTCGCTTCACACATGCCCATTCACCCATGTCCCTTCACACATTCCCTTTCACCCATGTCCCTTCACACATTCCCTTTCACCCATGTCCCTTCACACATTCCCATTCACCCATGTCGCTTCACACATGCCCATTCACCCATGTTCCTTCACACATTCCCTTTCACCCATGTCCCTTCACACATTCCCTTTCACCCATGTCCCTTCACACATTCCCTTTCACCCATGTCCCTTCACACATTCCCTTTCACCCATGCCCCTTCACACATTCCCTTTCACCCATGTCTCTTCACACATTCCTTTTCACCCATGTCCCTTCACACATTCCCTTTCACCCATGTCTCTTCACACATTCCCTTTCACCCATGTCCCTTCACACAATCCCTTTCACCCATGTCCCTTCACACATTCCCTTTCACCCATGTCCCTTCACACATTCCCTTTCACCCATGTCCCTTCACACATTCCCTTACACCCATGTCCCTTCACACATTCCCTTTCACCCATGTCTCTTCACACATTCCCTTTCACCCATGTCCCTTCACACATTCCCTTTCACCCATGTCCCTTCACACATTCCCTTTCACCCATGTCCCTTCACACATGCCGATTCACCCATGGCCCTTCACACATGCCCATTCACACATGCCCATTCACACATGTCCCGTCACATATTCCCCTTCACTCATGCCCATCACCATCTTCTGTCACCACCACCACCACCTTCACTCACATCATTGACGCCCATCCGACCCTAAAGATGCGCCCGTCCTCTTCCTCGCCTTTCACCAGGTAAGCTGTGGGGGCGGTGTGTGCCTTCCCACCAGGTGGTTTCCAGGAAACTACCAGGTGGCTTCCAGGAAATCACTAGGAGCTTATGAACAGGTGACTATCAGGTGCCTATGTGTTGAGCTATCAGGTGAGTTGTAGTTGGGTTTGAAGGTGGTTTGCTGCACCTGAACGCCCTACTAGCCCGTGTCCCTCATGTCTGCTGTTCCAATCTTTCTCTTCCACTTCACTGCTTTTGTCTCAGCGTGACATCACCATTTCTCCAGATGAGTATTTTGATTCCTAGGTGTCTCAAATCTTTTTGTCTTTCTTTCCCCTTCCTTCTTTCTTCTCCTCTCGACAGTTCTTTCATTGACTTCTCCATTGAACAAGCATTCTGCACCAAATTCCTGGTGAGGGGGAGATGGTAGAGGGTGCCGTGCGCACAAGAGGGGGAGATGGTGGGGTAGTGGAGCAAGCACGAGTGGGAGAGGGTAGTGGCTAAAGCAAGAGGGGGGGAGATGGTGGAGAACCATGAGTCAAACCGAGGCAACTGCAATCAGTTTGTGGCTTGACATGGCAGTCCCCTGAGTGGCTTATCCATTGCACTGAACTCCTGGTGAGGGAGTGAAGTGTCTGTGAGGCAGAGATGGGTGAGAAGGGAATGAGGAAGGTGAAAAGAGGAGAGGAAGAGGGGACGGTACAGTATGGTTACTGGAATCTGCTTAAAGCTGAAGTATACATTTGTCAGTAGGGTTTGGGTTTCGGGAGTGAGCCCCAAAGGTTCGAGGCAACTTTTCAAATCTAAAAAGTTTTTGAACCCGTCTTTTTAATTTTATATTAGAGCTTAAAAAATGCTGTTACATCCGTTTTAGTCTAGTCGGTTAGGATATTCGGCTCTCACCCGAGAGACCCGGGTTCAAGTCCCGGCAATGGAATCGTTTTTGGCGGGTTTGGAAGACACACTTCGGTAAGTGGTCACAGGAGACACAACCCAAAACATTGACAGTGTGTGTTGTGCACAATTGACCTCACAGGGTTCCTCTTGCCTCCCGCCGTCCAAACAAGGTGGTTTTGCAACTGAGAGGGAGCGATGAGGGAAGGAGTGTCTTTTTGTTCCATAACTTCAACGGCTATGCCGTTCCCCAACTCTCACTGCCCTTGCTTCAGAAGCAAATAGTTTTTCTAGTCGACGCATGTATGGGCATACAAAAAGGACACAAACAACCTCTTCTTCCACCTTCCCATGCTGCCTCATGCTACTTCTCTTGCCCCTTACCCTTCCCGTCACCTGCCCCTTTCTGTCTTCCCATGCTTCTCTGTCTTCTTCCTGTCCCCTTACCGTATTTGATGGCCCCTTTCACTCCGTTCCCTCCCGCCAACACCTTCAAAACCACTTGGCGTACAAGAAGGACCCGAGCAACCTTCCGAGCTATGCCATGCTGCCTCCTGCTGTTTCTTTTGGTATCTTCCTTTCCCCTTGCCTTTCGGTCACATGCCCTTTGCTGTCCCTTCCGCCCCATCTTCCCCCACCCCCTTCAGAACCACAAGGCATACAAGAAGGAACTCAAAACCCTCTTTCTCGGCTATGCCATGCTGCTGCCTAAGGCTGCCTCCTCTCTAGCCTCGTTTCTTAAACCCTTTCTGTTCCCTTCCAGCCCATCCCCTCAACCTTTCCAACCCTTGCCCATCTCGCCCGTTTTCCCCTCCCCTCCCCCCTCTTTCAAAACCACTGGGTGTACAAGAAGGATTCCCGAAATCTGTTTCCCGGTTACACCATGCTGCACCTTGCTACTGCCTTTGCGCCCCGCCGCCCGCCTTGTGGGCGGAAGAGGAGGATGAGAGGGAGAGGTGGAGAGTGGGTTTGGGCGGCAGATCTTTTGGTCAGAGTATTCAGTACAGTGCTGTTGGCGATGCCGTAAGTGATGGTGGTTGGGACTGATACAAGAGGAAGAAACAAGATAACAGAAAGGGTAAGGGGAACGGAAGAGAGTTGCATGTGATGGTGGTTGGATGGAGTTGCCCCGGCCCCTCCGCCGCCGCCGGGCAGAGTACTCGATCCACCCCAATCTTCCCCCACCACCTCACTCTCCGCCTCTCCCACCACCATCTCACTCCCACTACCATCTCACTCCCACCACCATCTCACTCAAACTCCTCCCTCTAGGAAGCTAGGCTGCAGCAGTCAAATAAGGAGTCATGCCACAACGGAGAATTTCCAACAAGGCAGGCAGCTTGGGTTGTTTGTGTTACGGTTTGTGCCCCTTCACAAAATGTAAAGAAACGTATTGTTACCAGTATTAATACCGTACGTTACGTAGATGTATTGCACTAGCTAGGTTCGTTCGTATGCGTTGTAGCGCATGAATATTTTTTTCGCGATAGTTGAAATTGGCAATTGACCTTGTAGCGTTTGAAGAGAGATTTATTGGTTATATTTTATGATTCTACACAGAACCTGACTCATCTCAATTTCTATAAGGTAGTGTAATCTGTTTCTGTAGGAGTGTAATCTGTTTCTGAAGGATTGCTTTAGCGAGGGTGTTCCGAGGTGCTCACGTCAGCTGGTTCAGCCTAAAAGTTCGCCCCGAACCACTTCCGAGCCGCCACCGTGCCTTTCGCCACACTTCCGAACCTTGCTACGCCGAGGTTCTCGCCTAGCTCGACTCCTAAATATAAAATCTTGTTTTGAACATTCATTGGGTATTCAGTAGCGCTCTTCAGATTTCAAAATTTAGTACATGTCAGTACATTCTTGAAACATTCCCACTCATAACGAATCACTCCTTTGTGTCAGCCGAAATTGTGTCCGGGCCACCATTTGCGGGCCGCTGGCTAGGCTGGAGTCACAGGGCAGGAGGACCCGTCGCTCGGTAGAGATCGCGTCGAAGCGACAGACAGGGTGACGAGAGCGCAACGGACGGCGACGAAACCGTGACAGACAGGGCGACGAAAATGCGACAGATAGAACGACAGTAGACGACGAAACAGGGACAGACAGAGCGCCACTAGATGACAAGAGCAAGAAGAACGGCAGAGGGGCGAGGAGCAGCGGCTATGGCGGATGGGGGAAGCACGGGCGCGCAGGCGAGGCTTCCGGCGGCTGCAGTGGCGGAAACAGCACCGTCGCTGTGAGCACCACAGCGGCGGCGCCGGCACTGGCGCGAAGAGGCGGTGGAAGGCCGCGCCGGTCGCGCTCCGCCTTGACCACTTCCTCGCCGCCGCTACCGCCGCCATTCCTGCTGCACGCGCGCCTCTACCGCCGCCTCCGCGAGAGCCCGCGGAAATCGGTTTGAGCGTAGATAGGCTCAGAAATGACGGGCGGCCGCGCGGAGGGGGAAGGGGAGGCGGAACGGAGAGGGGAGTCGCAGGGAGGGGAGGGGAATAGGTGGATACTAGCGCGTGTGGTTTGGGTTCGGCGGAAATGATGCGAGGGGTGGGAGAACGGGGGGCAGGAGGGCGGAAGAGGGGAGAAGGCGCAGGCGGACGGGTGGGGACAGGTGGGGTCGGGCGGGAAAAGGGGGAAAACGGGGGAAAGGTGTGAGAGGGCGTGCGCGAGAGAGGCTGCGTTGAGACGCGCTGTGGAGGGATGGGTGAAGGCAGCAACGTGGGAGAGAATTGGTGTGAGGCGGGGGAAGGAGAGGCAGACACCTAATTGGAAGCGAGCGAGCCGCTTGAAACGCATGGTGGTGCTGGCGACACAGGCGCGCGAGCGTGGGCGGCAGTGCGAGCGCGTAGGCAACAGCGCACGCGCAGGTGGCAGCATGCGCAGCAGCGCAAGTGCGGGGAGAGGGGGAGATGGGGGAGGGGTGGATGGGGGAGGAGGAGAGGGGGGATGGGGAGACGGGGACCTCAGGGTAAAGGACGCATGGGAGCAGGGAGCTGTGAGGTGGCGCATCCCCTGCATCCCCCTCTCCCTCCGCATCCCCCTCTCCCTCCGCTTCACACATGGCCATTCACCCATGTCGCTTCACACATGGCCATTCACCCATGTCGCTTCACACATGGCCATTCACCCATGTCGCTTCACACATGGCCATTCACCCATGTCGCTTCACACATGCCCATTCACCCATATCGCTTCACACATGCCCATTCACCCATATCGTTTCACACATGTCCCTTCACATATTCCCCTTCACTCATGCCCATCACCATCTTCCGTCACCACCCACCACTGCACACCACCACCATGCATGTATCTGCCTTCATGCGCCCATCCCCTTCCACGCCTTTTACCAGGTAAGCTGTGGGGGCGGTGTGTGCCTTTCCACCACGTGGTTTCCAGGAAATTACCAGGTGGTTTCCACGAAATCACTAGGAGCTTATGAACAGGTGATTATCAGGTGGCTATGTGTGTTGAGCTATTGGGTGAGTTGTAGGGGGGTATGTGGGTGGTTTGCTCCACCTGAAGGCACTACTAGCCCCTGTGCCTCATGTCTGCTGTTCCAATCTTTCTCTTCCACTTCACTTCTTTTGTCACTGCGTCACATCACCATTTCTCCGAGTATGCATTTTGATACCTAGGTGTAAAATCTTCTTGTCCCTCTTCCCACTTCCTTCTTTCTTCTCCTCTGGACAGTTCTTTCAGTGACTTCTCCATTGAAAGAATCATTCAGCACCAAATTCATGGTGAGGAGGAGATGGTGGGGGGTGCCGTGAGCACGAGAGGGAGAGATGGGGTAGTGGAGCAAGCACGAGGTGGAGAGGGGGAGATGGTGGGGTAGTGGAGAAAGCACGAGGGGGAGAGGGGGAGATGGTGGGGTAGTGGAGAAAGCACGAGGGGGAGAGGGGGAGATGGTGGGGTAGTGGAGAAAGCACGAGGGGGAGAGGGGGAGATGGTGGGGTAGTGGAGAAAGCACGAGGGGGAGAGGGGGAGATGGTGGGGTAGTGGAGAAAGCACGAGGGGGAGAGGGGGAGATGGTGGGGTAGTGGACAAAGCACTAGGGGGAGAGGGGGAGATGGTGGGGTAGTGGAGAAAGCACGAGGGAGAGAGGGGGAGATGGTGGGGTAGTGGAGCAAGCACGAGGGGGAGAGGGGGAGATGGTGGGGTAGTGGAGAAAGCACGAGGGGGAGAGGGGGAGATGGTGGGGTAGTGGAGAAAGCACGAGGGAGAGAGGGGGAGATGGTGGGGTGGTGGAGAAAGCACGAGGGGGAGAGGGGGAGATGGTGGGGTAGTGGAGAAAGCACGAGGGGGAGAGGGGGAGATGGTGGGGTAGTGGGGAAAGCACGAGGGGGAGAGGGGAAGATGGTGGGGTAGTGGAGAAAGCACGAGGGGGAGAGGGGGAGATGGTAGGGTAGTGGAGAAAGCACGAGGGGGAGAGGGGGAGATGGTGGGGTAGTGGAGAAAGCACGAGGGGGAGAGGGGGAGATGGTGGGGTAGTGGAGAAAGCACGAGGGGGAGAGGGGGAGATGGTGGGGTAGTGGAGAAAGCACGAGGGGGAGAGGGGGAGATGGTGGGGTAGTGGAGAAAGCACGAGGGGGAGAGGGGAAGATGGTGGGGTAGTGGAGAAAGCACGAGGGGGAGAGGGGGAGATGGTAGGGTAGTGGAGAAAGCACGAGGGGGAGAGGGGGAGATGGTGGGGTAGTGGAGAAAGCACGAGGGGGAGAGGGTGGAGGCTAAAGCAAGAGGGGGGGAGATGGTGGAGGAGAACCATGAGTCAAGCCGAGACAACTATAGCGAGTTTGTGGGTTGACATGGCAGTCCCCTGAGTGGCTTATCCATTGTCGACGTCTTCAGCACTGCCCTCCTGGTGAGGGAGTGGAGCGTGTGGGTGGCAGAAATGGGTGAGAAGGGAAAGAGGAAGGTGAAAAGAGGAGAGGAAGAGGGGATGAAGTTATATTCGTGAGAGTTGCTTGAGCGTTACTTTCACATCCGTTGTAGTCTAGTCGGTTAGGATACTCGGCTCTCACCCGAGAGACCCGGGTTCAAGTCCCGGCAACGGAAGTGTTCAGTTTTGGTGGGTTTGGAAGACAACCCAAAACATTGACGGTGTGTGTTGTGCACAATTGACCTCACAGGGTTCCTCTTGCCTCTCGGCGTCCAAAGAAAGTGGTTTTGCAGCTGCGAGGGAGCGATGGGGAAAGGAGTGTCTTTTTGCTCCATAACTTCAATGGTATGCCATTCCCCAGCTCTCAATGTCCTTGCTCCAGAACCAAATATGTTTTCTAGTCGATGCATGTATGGGCATACAAGAGAGACACAAGCAACCTCTTCTTCCACCTTCTCATGTTGCCTCATGTTGCCTCATGCTGCCTCATGCTGCTTCATGCTGCCTCATGCTGCCTCATGTTGCCTCATGCTGCCTCATGCTGCCTCATGCTGCTTCATGCTGCCTCATGCTGCCTCATGCTGCTTCTCTTGCCCCTTACCCTTCCCATCACCTGCCCCTTTCTCCCACCCCCTTGAGAACCTTTGAGCGTACAAGAAGGGCCAAGCGAGCAGCTTCCTCCCTGCTGCTACCCTTGCTTCTTTCCTTTCTCGTTACCCTTCCTGTCCTGTGCCCCATTCTGCCCCACCTCCGCACACATCAGAACCACTAGGCGTACTTACTCCCGCCTTCCTTCTGCACCCTTTTCTTTCTATAACCTCTCACACGGCACTGGTCCGTCGCATTCTTTCCCCTATTTCCCACACCGATTCGGTTAGCAAAGTGGTCCGACGTGTTCTTCTGTTTCGCGCACGCCCGTGGTGTCCGTCGTGACGCTGAGTCGACTCAAAAGTCAACGCACGCCCGTGGTGTCCGTCGTGTGACGCTGAGTCGACTCAAAAGTCAACGCACGCCCGTGGTGTCCGTCGTGTGACGCTGAGTCGACTCAAAAGTCAACGCACGCCCGTGGTGTCCGTCGTGTGACGCTGAGTCAACTCAAAAGTCAACGCACGCCCGTGGTGTCCGTCGTGTGACGCTGAGTCGACTCAAAAGTCAACGCACGCCCGTGGTGTCCGTCGTGTGACGCTGGCGAACGGGGTGGGTTGGGACCAACGTGCTCGGTGCGCGCTGCGCAAATTGAGCAGCTTCGCGCGACTCGATAAGGTAGTGGCATGTTTGACATTGCCGGCATCTCAGCGTCTCGACTGCAATTCCTTCCTAGTGAACAGTGGTGGTGGTGGTGGTGGTGGGCCGACAGTCATGTCCGAATGGTGCGCCCCCTCCAGACTTCCCCTTGCCAAGACGGACTTGTGCACGTCATGGAACGCTCACTTGCTGATCGCACTTGCTCACCTCACTTGCTAATTGCACTTGCTCACCCTGTTGTTGTCACGCCCCTTCCCCTCTCCTCATCCCCCTTCTCCCCTCCTCATCCCCATAAGCCGTCCCCATTAACTTTCCCGCGCACAGGGAGCGATGCGGCGGCGCGTGCTAACGGAGTTGAAGGAGGTGGGGCACGCGGTGCATTTTTGAGTCGACTCAAAAGTCACCTCGGAGTTGAAGGAGGTGGGGCACGCGGTGCATTTTTGAGTCGACTCAAAAGTCACCTCGGAGTTGAAGGAGGTGGGGCACGTGGTGCATTTTTGAGTCGACTCAAAAGTCACCTCGGAGTTGAAGGAGGTGGGGCACGCGGTGCATTTTTGAGTCGACTCAAAAGTCACCTCGGAGTTGAAGGAGGTGGGGCACGCGGTGCATTTTTGAGTCGACTCAAAAGTCACCTCGGAGTTGAAGGAGGTGGGGCACGCGGTGCATTTTTGAGTCGACTCAAAAGTCACCTCGGAGTTGAAGGAGGTGGGGCACGCGGTGCATTTTTGAGTCGACTCAAAAGTCACCTCGGAGTTGAAGGAGGTGGGGCACGCGGTGCATTTTTGAGTCGACTCAAAAGTCACCTCGGAGTTGAAGGAGGTGGGGCACGCGGTGCATTTTTGAGTCGACTCAAAAGTCACCTCGGAGTTGAAGGAGGTGGGGCACGCGGTGCATTTTTGAGTCGACTCAAAAGTCACCTCGGAGTTGAAGGAGGTGGGGCACGCGGTGCATTTTTGAGTCAACTCAAAAGTCACCTCGGAGTTGAAGGAGGTGGGGCACGCGGTGCATTTTTGAGTCAACTCAAAAGTCACCTCGGAGTTGAAGGAGGTGGGGCACGCGGTGCATTTTTGAGTCGACTCAAAAGTCACCTCGGAGTTGAAGGAGGTGGGGCACGCGGTGCATTTTTTAGTCGACTCAAAAGTCACCTCGGAGTTGAAGGAGGTGGGGCACGCGGTGCATTTTTGAGTCGACTCAAAAGTCACCTCGGAGTTGAAGGAGGTGGGGCACGCGGTGCATTTTTGAGTCGACTCAAAAGTCACCTCGGAGTTGAAGGAGGTGGGGCACGCGGTGCATTTTTGAGTCGACTCAAAAGTCACCTCGGAGTTGAAGGTGGGGCACGCGGTGCATTTTTGAGTCGACTCAAAAGTCACCTCGGAGTTGAAGGAGGTGGGGCACGCGGTGCATTTTTTAGTCGACTCAAAAGTCACCTCGGAGTTGAAGGAGGTGGGGCACGCGGTGCATTTTTGAGTCGACTCAAAAGTCACCTCGGAGTTGAAGGAGGTGGGGCACGCGGTGCATTTTTGAGTCGACTCAAAAGTCACCTCGGAGTTGAAGGAGGTGGGGCACGCGGTGCATTTTTGAGTCGACTCAAAAGTCACCTTGGAGTTGAAGGAGGTGGGGCACGCGGTGCATTTTTGAGTCGACTCAAAAGTCACCTCGGAGTTGAAGGAGGTGGGGCACGCGGTGCATTTTTGAGTCGACTCAAAAGTCACCTCGGAGTTGAAGGAGGTGGGGCACGCGGTGCATTTTTGAGTCGACTCAAAAGTCACCTCGGAGTTGAAGGAGGTGGGGCACGCGGTGCATTTTTGAGTCGACTCAAAAGTCACCTCGGAGTTGAAGGAGGTGGGGCACGCGGTGCATTTTTGAGTCGACTCAAAAGTCACCTCGGAGTTGAAGGAGGTGGGGCACGCGGTGCATTTTTGAGTCGACTCAAAAGTCACCTCGGAGTTGAAGGAGGTGGGGCACGCGGTGCATTTTTGAGTCGACTCAAAAGTCACCTCGGAGTTGAAGGAGGTGGGGCACGCGGTGCATTTTTGAGTCGACTCAAAAGTCACCTTGGAGTTGAAGGAGGTGGGGCACGCGGTGCATTTTTTAGTCGACTCAAAAGTCACCTCGGAGTTGAAGGAGGTGGGGCACGCGGTGCATTTTTGAGTCGACTCAAAAGTCACCTCGGAGTTGAAGGAGGTGGGGCACGCGGTGCATTTTTGAGTCGACTCAAAAGTCACCTCGGAGTTGAAGGAGGTGGGGCACGCGGTGCATTTTTTAGTCGACTCAAAAGTCACCTCGGAGTTGAAGGAGGTGGGGCACGCGGTGCATTTTTGAGTCGACTCAAAAGTCACCTCGGAGTTGAAGGAGGTGGGGCACGCGGTGCATTTTTGAGTCGACTCAAAAGTCACCTCGGAGTTGAAGGAGGTGGGGCACGCGGTGCATTTTTGAGTCGACTCAAAAGTCACCTCGGAGTTGAAGGAGGTGGGGCACGCGGTGCATTTTTGAGTCGACTCAAAAGTCACGTCGGAGTTGAAGGAGGTGGGGCACGCGGTGCATTTTTGAGTCGACTCAAAAGTCACCTCGGAGTTGAAGGAGGTGGGGCACGCGGTGCATTTTTGAGTCGACTCAAAAGTCACCTCGGAGTTGAAGGAGGTGGGGCACGCGGTGCATTTTTGAGTCGACTCAAAAGTCACCTCGGAGTTGAAGGAGGTGGGGCACGCGGTGCATTTTTGAGTCGACTCAAAAGTCACCTCGGAGTTGAAGGAGGTGGGGCACGCGGTGCATTTTTGAGTCGACTCAAAAGTCACCTCGGAGTTGAAGGAGGTGGGGCACGCGGTGCATTTTTTAGTCAACTCAAAAGTCACCTCGGAGTTGAAGGAGGTGGGGCACGCGGTGCATTTTTTAGTCGACTCAAAAGTCACCTCGGAGTTGAAGGAGGTGGGGCACGCGGTGCATTTTTGAGTCGACTCAAAAGTCACCTCGGAGTTGAAGGAGGTGGGGCACGCGGTGCATTTTTGAGTCGACTCAAAAGTCACCTCGGAGTTGAAGGAGGTGGGGCACGCGGTGCATTTTTGAGTCGACTCAAAAGTCACCTCGGAGTTGAAGGAGGTGGGGCACGCGGTGCATTTTTGAGTCAACTCAAAAGTCACCTCGGAGTTGAAGGAGGTGGGGCACGCGGTGCATTTTTGAGTCAACTCAAAAGTCACCTCGGAGTTGAAGGAGGTGGGGCACGCGGTGCATTTTTTAGTCGACTCAAAAGTCACCTCGGAGTTGAAGGAGGTGGGGCACGCGGTGCATTTTTGAGTCGACTCAAAAGTCACCTCGGAGTTGAAGGAGGTGGGGCACGCGGTGCATTTTTGAGTCGACTCAAAAGTCACCTCGGAGTTGAAGGAGGTGGGGCACGCGGTGCATTTTTGAGTCGACTCAAAAGTCACCTCGGAGTTGAAGGAGGTGGGGCACGCGGTGCATTTTTTAGTCGACTCAAAAGTCACCTCGGAGTTGAAGGAGGTGGGGCACGCGGTGCATTTTTGAGTCGACTCAAAAGTCACCTCGGAGTTGAAGGAGGTGGGGCACGCGGTGCATTTGTTAGTCGACTCAAAAGTCACCTCGGAGTTGAAGGAGGTGGGGCACGCAGTGCATTTTTGAGTCGACTCAAAAGTCACCTCGGAGTTGAAGGAGGTGGGGCACGCGGTGCATTTTTGAGTCGACTCAAAAGTCACCTCGGAGTTGAAGGAGGTGGGGCACGCGGTGCATTTTTTAGTCGACTCAAAAGTCACCTCGGAGTTGAAGGAGGTGGGGCACGCGGTGCATTTTTGAGTCGACTCAAAAGTCACCTCGGAGTTGAAGGAGGTGGGGCACGCGGTGCATTTTTTAGTCGACTCAAAAGTCACCTTGGAGTTGAAGGAGGTGGGGCACGCAGTGCATTTTTGAGTCGACTCAAAAGTCACCTCGGAGATGAAGGAGGTGGGGCACGCGGTGCATTTTTGAGTCGACTCAAAAGTCACCTCGGAGTTGAAGGAGGTGGGGCACGCGGTGCATTTTTGAGTCAACTCAAAAGTCACCTCGGAGTTGAAGGAGGTGGGGCACGCGGTGCATTTTTGAG